TGCCCCCTGCTGGCACCTCAGCCACACTCCCTGCAGTACAAGCAGCTCCCAGATGCCATCCTACGCCCCCCCTCCCCCCGGGCCTGCCTCCCCCAGCCCATGACTGGCCAGGAGCCTGGCTGAGGGGACCGGGTGGGTACCACAAGGGGAAGCCAGGCGCGGTCCCTGGCAGAGCCGCCCGGGGCGGAAGGGGACAGCCCAGCCTACAGAGCTGGGAGGGGATGGCCGGCCCCAGTTCGGGTCTTTGCTCAAGACGGGGTGTAGCTCCCTCCCCCACCGCTCCCAGCGTCCGGGCACCCCCCCGGCCTTGTGACCCACTCGGCACTCGAAATGGCCGCAGCACGCCAGCCGCTCCCGGCTGCAGGGGCAAGGAGGAGGCAATGGAAGGGAGCAAAATGTTGCCACAGCCTGTCCCCGTTCCCTCCCAGGCAGTTACAAGGGAGGGCGCCTGGCAGCCTCCCGCCACAGGGCGTGTGCAGCGCTGGCCTGGCCCTGCTGGGATCACGTTCTCCACTGAGCTGTTGCCCACAGGACAGCTAAGGGCTCACCACAGCTAGAGACTTCAAACGGCAGAGTCCATCCATGCTGCACGTGCCCTGCAGAGCACCCTGCCCAGCCCCCGACACGCTAGGCATGGAAGAGTCTGCCCATCGCGCCCCCCTACGGGCACACACGGACGAGAATGCATTTCCACCAACAGTCACCCAGCACACAGCCAGGCTGCCAGCAACCCCCCAGCCCTTCTCTTCCGCACACGAACGCCCGCTTCGTGGCCTCTGCTCGCAGGGCACATGCCCCGCCCCCAGCTCCTTTTCATCCCCCTCCACTGGACTCTCGTTTGTCCACGTCCCTTCTGGAGCAGGGAGGAGCAAAACCGGCGCCGATTCGAGGGGAACAGTCACTTCCCTCCATCTGCTGCACTGCTCCTCCTAATATGCCATTCACCTTCTTGGCTACAAGGCCCGCTTCGTGGCCTCTGCTCGCAGGGCACATGCCCCGCCCCCAGCTCCTTTTCATCCCCCTCCACTGGACTCTCGTTTGTCCACGTCCCTTCTGGAGCAGGGAGGAGCAAAACCGGCGCCGATTCGAGGGGAACAGTCACTTCCCTCCATCTGCTGCACTGCTCCTCCTAATATGCCATTCACCTTCTTGGCTACAAGGGCGCCCTGTTGGCTCATCCCCAGCTTCTCCGCCACTGTCATCCCCAGGTCCTTTTCTGCAGAACTGCTACTTAGCCAGTCGGCCCCCAGCCTGCAGCCATGCTTGAGATCCCCCCATCCCAAGGGCAGGACTCTGCACTTGTCCTTGTTGAACCTCATCCAATTTCCTGGGGCTCAACCCTCCAATTTCTCGGTCACCCAGGACTCTATCCCTGCCCTTCAATGTATCCACCTCTCCTCCCAGCCTTGTGTCATCTGGAAACTTGCTGAGGGTGCAATCTGTCTAAGCCATCTAAGCTCCCTCTAAGCTGCACGGAAGGGCGGCCAGGCAGCTGCCTAGCAAATCCTGTGCGGCCACACAGAGCATCACCTCTTCCCGCCAGCCTCTCTCCCTGGCAGCCATGGGAGCCCCATGCTGGGGTTGGGGGAGTCTGCTTCTCCTCTGCCCACAGACCCCAACCCAGAGCTCCCCCAGAGCTGCCACTGCCAGGGGACAGGCACCCCTCCCCTGGCCCCCACCCAGACTAGCCCAGGCCAGTGCCGGCTGGGGGGGACACACCCTTCCCTGGCTGTGCCTGCTGGAGGTGTGGCGGCCATGGACAGGCACCTCTCCCCTGGCCCCAAGTTGATGCCATGAGCGGGCTGGGCTTGTTCTCTCCCCTGGGCAGCCTGTATACCGACCCCTCCCCCCCAGCCAGAGCCCTCCCCCCACAAGCCCAACCCTGTGTCTTCCGCAGACTAGCTGAGGGTGCAATCCATCCCCTCATCAAGGGCAGTAATAAAGATACTGAACAAACCCGGCCGCAGGACTGACCCTGCTTGACAGCGCCCACCCGCCAACCAGACTTCAAGCTGTTGATCACTGCCCGTTGAGCCCAACAACCTGGCCAGTTTTCTATCCACCTTACAGTCCATTCATCCAATCTATGCTTCCTTACCTTGCTGCAAGAATACTGTGGGAGACCGTCTCAAAAGCCTTGCGCAAGTCAAGGTCTGGCACATCCTCTGCCTCCCCCACGTCCACAGAGCCAGTTACCTCATCACAGAAGGCAATCAGGCGAATCCATGTTGACTGTTCCTGATCACTGTCCCCGCCCGTTGAGCCCAACAACCTGGCCAGTTTTCTATCCACCTTACAGTCCATTCATCCAATCTATGCTTCCTTACCTTGCTGCAAGAATACTGTGGGAGACCGTCTCAAAAGCCTTGCGCAAGTCAAGGTCTGGCACATCCTCTGCCTCCCCAACGTCCACAGAGCCAGTTACCTCATCACAGAAGGCAATCAGGCGAATCCATGTTGACTGTTCCTGATCACTGTCCCCTCTTCCAAGTGCTTCAAAATGGATTCCTTGAGGACCCCTCCAGCATTTTCCAGGGACTGCGGTAAGGCTGACCAGTCTGTAGTTCCCTGGATTCTCCTTCCCTTTTTCAAAGATGGGCCCATTTGCCTTTTCCCACTTGTCTGGGACCTCCCCACAATTGCTGTGAGTTTTCAGAGATAACAGCCAGTGGTTCTAATCACGGCCAGTGGTTCTAATCACAGCAGCCGACTCTCTCAGCTGAATCCGGCCCCATGGACATGTG